CTAAACACCAAACCCAGATTCTATGTTTTATTCATTTTGCATTAAGATGACCAAAGAAATAAAACCTAAATAAAATAAACATAAAATCATTTTTCCCTATTTAAGTACTGGTAATTTCTATTAATCCTATTTTTAATTTAGGGAGTTTTGTATTCATATTCTCAAGATATCCAGTGTACAAGTTTCTGCAGAATCACTAATTTTATTATAAAGCTTCCTCTTCCCACACTGTAGGGGACAATGTATTTTCACTCTGACTTGTTTAAAAGACACAAGAAGGTTAACATACTTTAAAGTTAACACAGTTTTTTTCATTATAAAAACAGGCTCAAGTCAATGGTCACTCTAATATATGGTTACCGACTGATGGACTGTCCTGTTGGACTGTCCTGTATGTAGATACCTAGGTTCCTGACTTTCTACTACTCATTACTGTTGGCTGATGTAAAACTTGATTGTGCAACATGCATTTCCCTAAAAATGAACAGGGAATGCAAAGATATAAAATTCAAAGTACTAACAGATGGCTTTGCTACTTTTCATACTTTTGGGAAATGAGATAGTTGGAAGTTAGAGGCTATTAACTAAAATAAAATTAAGGAGTAAGTTACCTGTGAATTTCATTTACTCACATTAGGACTGACTGGTCTCTCTTTATTGAAGTTTAACTGAAAACAGAATGGACCATGACTGGCAGCTATATATTGGTCATTTCCAAACACTCCGATGACATTCTTCAATAACTTTATTATCTCCAGTTTTATGGTGCCATACTATGTTTTCCACCCTGTTTAAATTTTTCTTTTCCATAATCCAAATGCCAAAAAAATTACTACAAATTCTCTTACACAGTCTAAAATATATTTACTGGAATGTTTTTAGTTATAGCCGAAGGCAACAACATTTACAACATTTAGCTTTTGTTACACCTATAAATGTGAAAATTGCTTGCAAAATAACTGTAATATGAAAAGAATGATATTTTTGCAAATATTGACAGAATGGTTATGCATCTCTTTCAGCATAATTTGGTACTCTACATAGGCTTCCTGACCTCCAACATGACCCGCTCCCTAATGCAATAATGCAAGTCCTTATACCATTAAAATACTAGTATGAAACATTAGCATCAGTGTTTATATACACAAATAATGAACTGGCAAGTATCTAGTTTCAAATCAGATCTTTGAAATATGGAAAAATAGAGGCTAGTTCTCTTTGCCTTAAACATAATTATTAAAAGAACATTTTGTTAGAAGGGGAGAAGATAATCGCACATTCTCAACGTTCCAATTTGAAGTGATACTTGCCTCTTATTTTCTTGAAAAAGAAGTTTTGAAAGTTATATACACATAGATTTCATTTAAATTATGCAGCAATCTTTTATTACTGTCCCAGATCTTGTTTAATGAAGATCTCTGTCATCAAATCAAGTATGGTATTTCATGACTATAAGAACTGTAAGAAAAAAAATGAAAAAAACAATATATCAACATCATCAGATTTATATGCTATGTTTGAAGCAATATTCCTTTTTTTTTTTTCCTTCGGCCTGTTTGAGTATATGAAGCAATATTCCTAAATGTAGTTGTGTCTACTTTTAGAAATGGGTAATGAGGATTGAATTTTTATCTGAAGTAATAATAAATGAGAAAGGAGAAGCAAAAAAATCATAAAACAACCTAAATGTCTTAACTTTGGCATCTTAAATAAATTATGGCATAGCCATAGCTTGTATCTGCTGTTAAAATATTACTAAAAATTTTGATAACATGGGAAAATATCCACAATATATTTATTAGAAAGTATATATAATATAGTCTGTTTTTTTTTTTTTAAACATGCTTGTATATTGGAAAAGAGTAGAAGTATATATAATAGTTATATTAGTAGTAGCTATCTCTGTATGGTAAGATTATAGTTGAATTTTGTTTTCTTCATGTTAATATTTCACATTTTCCAATTGCCCACCATATATACATGATTGATTCTTTTGTTTTGAGGTAGTTATTTTCTGTAAGGTAACTACAAACACTACTCCTAGGGAAAATACAGGGTTAAGTTCCTGTGAGTCTCTGGCTACTACATTTTTGTCAATCAATCAGTATATAACCTTGTTTTATGTGCGTTTCTGTTTAAAGACATTTAATGCATATTATTGATTCAGAACACTGAACTCAAGGCCAACAGCACTGTAACTCATGCCTGAACAAAAGTCTGTTCGATGTGTATTTTCCCCATGAAGACAAATCACAGCCTTCTTGTACTGAGCAACACTAGAGAGCACTTCAGCACTATACATGGGGGCCATTTTAAACAATGAAATTACCAATGAAAAGCAGAAAACGTGGCACTAACTAGACTACAAATAGAACATGTTTATGTTATGAGTGCTGAAATAAAAAGGCAGAAATGGCTTTGTTTAACCTCAGCTAGGAATGTGCAGGATGGGGGACTTAAATTTTTTGTTACTCTAAACATGTATGTAAATAACTGAAAGTACCATGAGTATTGATTTTGGGGTTACAAATTTTACCTGGTAAGTGGATTTACCAACACAGAATCTATGAATAATGAGGACTGACTGTATTTCTTGGTAACAAAACATTTTTTTCTGTTTAAGAAGATAACAGCATAATTTTTCAAATGATTATTTTTAGATACTTTCCAAATCTTCATAAAATCTCTGTAAACGTAGGTAGAGAGGCCTTGAAGAAAAAGAAATATTTAAAATGATATGATTTTTAAAAGAACATTAAGGGGAAAAAGGAAGATGGAGTCATGCTTTAATGATGGAAATTATGCTCAAATGTAGAACAAAACAAAAACCAAACAAAAAAATCACCTTGAGAATGTTTTTGGATTTATCCTTCCAAAACAATATTACAAGATGCAAACTGCCATTCCTGAGAGTTAATGTTTTAGACCTTAGTGTAACAGGAACCAGATTTGGCCTTGAACAAATCACTTAGCCCTGGATTTGGGGGTGAGGGTTGGGGACAGAACAGGAGTTCCCTTTGAAAATCTGACAAAAGACATAGGCTCTCTCTCCATAAAAATGTAAATATGCATATAAAATTTTACATATAAATTAAGAGCATTTTCAGAAATCAATATATTCTAAGAGCTCCTGACACAAGTCAGAAGTCATTATTCAATCCTGGCTTCAGACATAATAGGTCAACTGAAAATAAATTTAAAAGGGTATTAAAATGAACTCAAACCAAATGATACCCTAAGAAGTACTAATCTGACAAATACTTACTGATAATCACTAGCAAAAGGATGGCAGCAACCAAAGCCATGATGGCTTTTATCTACAACACACAAAAGGGCATATAAAGATATTAATGTTTCACTTGTTAATAAAGTCAAGACTATTTGTTCTTCTATTTACTGCATCATACTAAATCATCTCAATAAATAGGCACATTTCTGGAAACGTCTTCAATTTTTTTCTCATATGAACTTGCTATTTTTCATTCTTTGGGAAATAATCAGAGTTCCCCAAACTTGAAGTACTTTGCTGGATTTTATTGTTCAAGGCTGTACTGCAGAGTAAACAGTAACCATTAAAGCCCTCATGGACCTGAACCTCTATGATTTGCTGTACTTAGAACTAACATAAGACCAGAGAAAATACATAATATTTTAGCAACTCTGTTCGAGTGTCAAAATATGAATAACATAGGCCACCCAATTCAAATGGCTGAATACATAAAAGGTAGGAGTTTATAGCAGTTTTTTTTTTCAAGGTACATGAGAGTTCTGTTGTTTTTTCTCCTTTATTTCTTGGCATCTTTATCTCCATTTTGAGGAATATACTTTAGATTCTTTATGAATAGCCTCATTTAATAAGCAACTTTGTCTAAGAGCATTCTGTGTCAGTTTTGTAGTTGAGATAAGAAACCTTAAGGTCAGTTCTTGGTCAGCTCCTTAATATGTTATAACAAAGTGACCCAAAGAATATATGGAAGATTTATAATCTGGACACCAGTGTGTATTAAAATTATGATAACCAAAAAATGTAGAAAGAGAAAGCAGAATGGATGGGAGATAGGAGCTATATTTTTAGTAGGTGTCTGGGTCCACATTATATGACACATTTAAGTAATCCTTTATTAACCTGAAACATTTCTAAAATAATTTGTAATTTCTACAGTTTTTCAACCTTACCTAAAATGTACATTAATTTGCCCTGTTAAATGTGTGTTTGGCTTTACTTAAGATTTTAACGAAAACATCAATATCAATTTTAAAACACCTCAATGAATAGTTTTCTTCCTTGGGTTTCTAACACTGGGCAGAAAATGTTTACAACTCCAAATGGCAATATTGTATTCATGCAAGTCCAAAGTTCTCTTATACCAAATAACACGAACAAAAATCTGTTGGTCATTAAACATATAAGAGCTTCACAGCTCCCTAGATACATTAGGAGAGGTGTTAGCGATTCTCTTTCCCCACCCATGGATAATTTTTTTAACTAATTTATTTTTAAAGCCAGGTATATTGAGATACACTTTACATAGAATAAAACTTATCCTCTTAAAGTATTTTTTATAAGTTCTGACAAATATATCCAGCTGTTAATAAACATGACCACAATAAAATATAGGACATTTCCACTACCACCCTCAACAAGCTCCCTCATGACCTGTTGTCAGTCTCCAACCGCACCACATCCCCCTTAGCCACTGGCAACTCCTGATCTGTGTTCTGTCCTTATATCCTTTCTCTTCAAACCCTTCCTAAGCTACCATTATGGAAGTCAATCTAGAAAATGGCAGGCACAGGGAGGCTACCCCAGATGAAGTAGCACAATGAAGTATTAATGGAGTGCAGTAAATTTGAAGAAAGCTAAGCTTCATTTATTATTAGAAAGCTTCATATATTATTAGAGCATAATAAATGAAGAATACTCACTACTATAAATGGTCTTTGTTATGTTACAGAACAATGTGTTCATTATATAGTCAATGCTATTCATGGTCCCCAGAGGTCCTCAAGGTGATGACTGTTTAAAATTATAATTCAGTGTTTTTTCCTCCTTAAAAGCACACTATTCCTCTGACCCAAACCCCATAAAGTACAAAGCAAACATTTTTAGAAATAGCTAAAAAAAAAAAAAAAAAGCTAGGCAAAATGTCCATTATGACCATCTTTTTGTGGACACATAAATGGAGTACATGAGTTTAGGGGAAGAGAAGAGGTGAATGGCTCAAGGACCTTTTGTTTTTCCAAATTAGTCCACAGAATAGAAAATTCCTTTAGATATAGAAACTTTAGGCCAGGTGTGGTGCCTCATGCCTGTAATCCGGCACTTTGGGAGGCTGAGGTGGACAGACTGCTTGAGGCCAGGTTCGAGACCAGCCTGGCCAACATAGGGAAACCCTGTGCCTACTAAAAATACAAAAATTAGCCAGGTGTGGTGGCATATGCCTGTACTCCCAGCTACTCTGGAGGCTAAGGCAGGAGAATTGCTTGAACCTGGGAGACTTTGGAGGCTAATGCATGAGACTCACTTGAACCTGGGAGGCAGAGGTTGCAGTAGGACAACATCCCACCACTGCACTCCAGCCTGGGAGACACAGCAAGACACTGTCT